CACATACACAAACACCCCTCACATACACACAAACACCTCTCACATACACACAAACACCTCTCACATACACACAAACACCTCTCACATACACACAAACACCTCTCACATACACACAAACACCTCTCACATACACACAAACACCCCTCACATACACACAAACACCAGTGAAGTGTCCTTCATGTTGCGCTCTGATTGGTTGTCCAGGAGGTGGTGCTGTACTGTTTGGAGCAACAGGTGTGTGACGTTAACCACAGAGATAACGCCGGGTACTGTGCTCTGCATGAGGCCTGCGCCCGCGGCTGTCTGGGGATTGTACGCCACCTGGTGGAGCACGGAGCCGACACCAACTGCAGCGCTCAGGACGGCACCAGGTACGAGCCAACGCACGTTTATACGGGCGACTGAACTCTGTACACAACTGAAAGTGATGTTTATGGTTCCTGTTTCAGACCGCTTCATGACGCTGTGGAGAACGACCACGTGGAGGTTGTCCGTTTTCTGTTGGCCTGCGGCGCCGACCCCACCCTCACTTCTTACTCCGGACGAGGACCCCTCAACATGACCCATAGCGCTACCATGGAAACGTTCCTGGAGGGTAGGAGGAGCCAGTCACAGCTCAGTGTTACAGAACCAGTGTGCTGTGTGTGTGTGTGTTTGTGTGTGTGTGTGTGTGTTTGTGTGTGTGTGTTCCTCTGTGTGTGTGTTCCTCTGTGTGTGTGTGTGTGTGTGTGTGTGTGTGTGTGTGTGTGTGTTCCTGTTCCTGTTCCTCTGTGTGTGTGTGTGTGTGTGTGTGCGTGTGTTCCTCTGTGTGTGTGTGTGTGTGTGTGTGTGTGTGTGTGTGTGTGTGCGTGTGTTCCTCTGTGTGTGTGTGTGTGTGTGTGCGTGCGTGCGTGTGTGTCTGTATTTGTTCTAGCTCTCCATCTTTCCTTTTTTTCCTCTCTCTCTCTCCAGAGGGGTTTAATGAGGCTTGGCCGTTGAATCCCAGAACAGCTTACTGACACACGCACACACACACACACACACACACACACACACACACACACACACACACACACACTCCTGCCAGCATTTGTCTACTCAGTGCCGAGCGGCGCGGCGACAAGCCGGCACCGTCTGAGCACAAACACTCATCTTCTTCTTCTCTGCTCTTGCTGCGTGTGTGTTTGTGTGTGCGTCTTTGTTTTGCTCTGGCTGCCTTCATGCTCTCTGATTGGTCGGCTCTTTTATCACATAACTTCTCTCTCTCTCTGCAGACTATCTCTCCGACCTCCAGGGGCGGTCGGAGGGCGATCCAGGGATCTACTGGGAGTTTTACGGCAGCTCAGTGTGCGGTTAGTCTACACACAAACACACAACAGGAAACAAACTGAGACACTTTGTGATTCAGCTTCCTGTTGTCATGTTGATCTACAGAACCGTCTACAAAGAGCCCAGTGGTCAACGTCCTCGCTGACCCTCCAGGGCCGGATCAGGAAGGGGACGATGAAGAGGAGGGCGAGGACGAAGACGAGCGTGTCAAGAGGGAGGTGTTTGAGTTTGAACTGTCCGACCGGCCGCTCCTCCCCTGCTACAACATCCAGGTGGAGGAGAGTCAGGGGTGAGTCACATGACCCCCTCCGGGGGGGGTACTCAGGGTGTGGGTGGGAGGAGTCTTGGTGTGGGGGGTGGAGTCTCAGTGTAGGGGGGGTCTCTTATGGGTGGGTGGAGTCTCAGTGTAGGGGGGTGGAGTCTCAATGTAGGGGTGGAGTCACAGTGTGGGGGTGGAGTCTCAGTGTAGGGGGGTCTCTTATGGGTGGGTGGAGTCTCAGTGTGGGGGTGGAGTCTCAGTGGGGTGGGTGGAGTCTCAGTGTAGGGGTGGAGTCTCAGTGTCATCATGGAGTCTCAGTGTAGGGGGTGGAGTCTCTGTGTGGGGTGGAGTCTCAGTTGGGTGGGTGGAGTCTCCATGTGGGGGTGGAGTCTCAGTTGGGTGGGTGGAGTCTCAGTGACATCATGGAATCTCAGTGTAGGGGGTGGAGTCTCAGTTGGGTGGGTGGAGTCTCAGTGACATCATGGAGTCTTTATTTCTCTCTCCTCCAGACCCCGGAACTGGCTCCTCCTCTGCGATGTCCTGGGTCGACTTCGGATCACGTCTCGGTCGTTCCGCCGCCTCTTCCCTCAGCTGAACGTTCAGTCCATCCCTGAGGACCGGTTCTACCAGCAGGCGTCTCTGTCCCAGCTCCTGACGGGTCCAGACCAGCAGGAGCTGTCCCCCTTCAGGCCCCATGTGAAGGACTCTCTAGAGCTGGTGGAGGCCACGCCCGAGCTGGCCGGCATGCTGGGCTCCTCCATGGAGTTGGTGGACAGTCGCCGGGACTCGACGGAGGCTTCACCACCTCCAACACCGCCCCCCCTACCATCACCGTCCCCCCTACCATCACCGCCCCCCCTACCATCACCGTCCCCCCTACCATCACTGTCCCCTACCATCACTGCCCGCCCTACCATCACTGCCCGCCCTACCATCACTGCCCCCCCATCGACAGGCAGCGTCAGCAACTAATGCTAACAGAGCATTTCAGAACAGGACGCCAGCGTCTAACCCCTGCAGAGGACTTCAGGATCCAGCTGCTGGGTGGGAAACCAACATGTGGGATCACCACAGGTCACATTCTGCTCACCTGGATTTCAAAACAGACTCTGGTCTGGGGGAACAGCAAAGAACCTGGATCCCAAAATCTGCTCACCTGGACTCAAAGATTGACTGGAGCGTGTCAGAACAACGACAAAAGCTAAGTGATGATACTAAAGATAACGCTGTTAATCCAGACTCCAACTTGGACTTCCACAAATCTGAACAACCAGACACACTAACTAACACTGCTAATGTGAACGCTAACACTGCTAATGTGAATGCTAACACTGCTAATGGGAACGCTAACACTGCTAATGTGAATGCTAACACTGCTAATGTGAACGCTAACACTGCTAATAGGAACGCTAACACTGCTAATGTGAACGCTAACACTGCTAATGGGAACGCTAACACTGCTAATGTGAATGCTAACACTGCTAATGGGAACGCTAACACTGCTAATGTGAATGCTAACACTGCTAATGTGAACGCTAACACTGCTAATAGGAACGCTAACACTGCTAATGTGAACGCTAACACTGCTAATGGGAACGCTAACACTGCTAATGTGAATGCTAACACTGCTAATAGGAACGCTAACACTGCTAATGTGAACGCTAACACTGCTAATAGGAACGCTAACACTGCTAATGTGAACGCTAACACTGCTAATGGGAACGCTAACAGTGCTAATGTGAACGCTAACACTGCTAATGGGAACGCTAACAGTGCTAATGTGAACGCTAACACTGCTAATAGGAACGCTAACACTGCTAATGTGAATGCTAACACTGCTAATAGGAATGCTAACAGTGCTAATGGGAATGCTATCACTGCTAATGGGAACGCTAACACTGCTAATGGCAACGCTAACACTGCTAATAGGAATGCTAACAGTGCTAATGGGAACGCTAACACTGCTAATGGGAATGCTAACAGTGCTAATGGGAATGCTAACACTGCTAATGGGAATGCTAACAGTGCTAATGGGAATGCTAACACTGCTAATGGGAATGCTAACAGTGCTTACCTGGACTCTGTCATATGGGATCAACATCAGGGAGGAAAGAAGTCTCGAGGGAAGATTTCGCTCCAGTCAAAGCGTGCGGTCGTTGCGAACATATGGGAACCTCAGCGACTGCGCAGTAGAAGTTCTGTGAACTCAAACACCAAAGTGGACGCTGCGACGCCACGACCACAGCAAATAGAAAACAAGAACACGCCTCTTTTTGTCAAGTCAAACAGTTGTGTTGATGCTAATACGACGGGCGAGGTGTCAGGCTCCTCTGCAGGGATCAATGTTAGCACAGAAGCTAACAGGTGGGAGCCCCAGGGAATAAAGAGAGTGGGAGGAGCCAACACAGCGCCTCCCTGTTGCATTCCTGGT